TTATGTTTCCTTTATATGGTAAAAAACTGCTTATTGAAATTACCATTTCTTCAATATAATGGTCCATGATTGTTTTATCGAATTACCGATATCTGAAATGATGAAAATTTAATAATAATTTTAATAAGCAGGTAGTTCTATCATGCCTTCATGCGATATACAGGGTGTTTCCTAACTACGGTTCCTAACTGCGGGTGGTGATTCTTTTGGTCATTTTAGGAAGAGAAGTTCATATTAACATATGTCCGGGGTTGCTTCGTTTCTGAGATACAGGGAGATGAAATTGAAGAAAAAAAATGGTAATTACGAAATATCATGAATATCCTAGAACCGATTTAGTTGTTTGGTACTTCCATTTGAAAATGATGAGGCGCCCATTCAGCCCTATTTAGATCGAAATCATTGGGACCAGTGGCGTCTCAGTGGGCACCACTGCCAACAATATTTTTAAAAAAGTACGCCTCTGACTTTTTCTGGTAAATTTTCATTTTCTTACAACTATTCGGTCGTTTGTATTTTCTTCATATCCAGCTTCGTTTTCGAGAAAAAAAATTAAAGCCACTGTATTGCTATCATGAACACCTGCATTGGACATATTATGAGTTTTTCATTATTTCCGCCAAAAATATAATTGACACTTGATATACTGAAATTTAAGAAAATTTCACAAATAAGAGTAACAAATTTCAACCAAATGGGTTCCAGGATATTCATGATATTTTATAATCATTATCGGTTTTTTTTCTTTAATTTCAACGCCCGGTATCTCAGAAACGAAGCAACTTCGGACAAATGTTCATAGGAACTTTTCTTCTTAAAATGACCTAACAAATCACCCCCTGCAGTGAGGAGCCGTAGTTAGGAAACACCCTGTATGAGTACTTATAGTATACCCATCACCTACCTATAGCCTTACCTACATTCCTATAGATTTACAAATTTCAATATTTTCATACATACCCATACTTTGTTCAAGTTTCACAGATAAGAATTCTTCTATATCCAATGCAGTCAGAGCCAAGACATATTTGAGGAAGTTATTTATCTCTGAAATGTATAAAAGATTATTATTTTACTTGGGACATCATTGTGAAAGTTATACCTCTGAAAGGATATACATACCTGCTATTGAAGTTTATTGGACCCTAAAACATAATCATGGGTTATCTATCAAATAATTTTCCATATAGACAGCATAACCCACAACAATCTTAAACTCAAATAGGCACTGAAAGAGAATTTGCCGATGAAATATTCTATGCTCCTACCCTCAACGATCTCTTAACTGTCCTGAATATTCGCTGATAGGGTTTCCATATATATTATTTTGAACGGCATTAAATTATGTTATTAATACAATCATACGAAGTGTATTCAGGTGGATCATTTCCACACCAAAGAAACAGTAAAATTATGTACTGCAATTCGCATATACAGAGTGTCCGCTAAAAGGAGGTCAATCCATTAACCATATATTCCTTGAACAAAAACAATATGACTTTCTGAATAACATTTTTCATTGTAGCCCTTCATATTGGATATACGTGCGCTAATGACTTCCTATCTATCTTTATTCAAGTGTTCGATCATTTTTGAGTATTTTTTGTCTCTTGTAAAATGTTGATGAAATTATTTGTTTTTAAGATAATTCGAAAAGTACTGGTTATTGTTTGATGCCTATGCGGCTTACGGTAATCTTATAATGTTGACATACTCTTCCTCCTATTTATTTCGTCGAAATTGGAAGAGGGCGTAACTTTTTACGCACGAGAAGGTAAATATGCAAATACCGGGTGCTCAAAGCGATTGAATAAAAATAATTTTTACAAAAAAAAAAAATGATAGAAATTCAACACGTCTAAATGAATTGCTCGATATGACCTCCAATTTTTTGAATACACATGCGAGCCCTTTTAATTAAAGAAAATCTTAGCCTATGAAAAATATGTGGCTTATACACAAAATCTTTCATACATCCCCAGACAATCCGGATCTGCTATTTCTTTCATCAAGTAGCTATTAAAATCATGGATATCATAATTTCACCCATAATTGCCGAAAATATATTTTTTAATTTCTTCCGATTTTATTTACCGTTCGTTCGCTCACGACATACCTTACGGAGGAGGGCTCGAAAATATTTTTAAAAAATTCCGCAACCCCCAAAACCGCTCAAACCGATTTTAAGAATTTTTTAAAAAATTTGCTGTCCTCGAAAAAATTCTTTAAAACGGTGGGCTCGTTAAACGACCCCCCCATCCTCCTAAAATCATTATTTTCCCGAAATTCTTTAATTATAATTAAAAGGGCTCGCATGTGTATTCAAAAAATTGGAGGTCCTATCGAGCAACCTTTTTTTTAGACGTGTTGAATTTCTATCAATTTTTTTTTTGTAAAAATTATTTCAATACATCCGCTCTGAGCACCCAGTATTTCCATATTTACCTTTTCGTACGTAAAAAGTTACGCCCTCTTCCAATTTCGACGAAATAAATAGGACTATGTGAACATTTTGAGATTACCGTAAGCCGCATAGGCATCAAACAATAACCAGTACTTTTCGAATTACCTTAAAAATAAATAATTTCATCGAAAATTAACAAGACACAAAAATTACTCAAAAATGATTGAAAACTTGAAGAAAAATAGATAGGATGTCATTAGCGCACGTACAAAAAAATGGGGGTAAGTGTGTACTTAACCCGCAGTATTTTGAATATTTGACAGTTATTTTCTGTTTTGTTTTCCTCACACGATGTAACTCTTTGTGCTGAAGTAATGTACCAATTTTGAGTTTAATATCTTATTAAATACGCGAGTAATTAAAAAAAAACAGATTTTAACTCCCAACTTTGACACCCTGTATATCGAATATGAAGGGCTACAATGAAAAATGGTATTCAGAAACTCATATTGTTTTTGTTCAAGGAATATATGGTTAATGGATTGACCTCCTTTTAGCGGACACCCTGTATATTATTCACACTCCTCAATACTTTTCTCATTATTCATGTTCCTGAATGTAATTCATTAGTAGTAAATTGAGGTAGTTAATCATAGAATTTATCTCCTTGGCGCAATGAATGGGCATCTGATCCTCTTCTTTCGTCTACAATATGACAACTGGTTCGATGATACAGAAATTCTGATTTATCTCGTTCAGTTTCACTTCGAAAGAATAGTAATTTACGTAACAAGTCCGGAAAATACTGTTTTTGGACGTGTTTCATACACTATTTTTTCGGCAACCATGTAGAATAACAAAGCAATGAGACACATTTCCATATTATATTTCTTTGTAGAATACAATTTCTTCTTTATCAATACTCGTTTGTATCAATTACTGAAATTTGAACAGAATACCTAAACCTACTAAGTGTTACATTGGAAATTACGTATGGACATTTTCAAACCCATCACCGCAGCTGCTTTCGATAGGTTATTGCGATAATTGCAACCAAACTTTCAAAAATCAAAATGTCAACTAATTTAATGTCAAATAGCTGTCAGCTGATATTTCGCTGCTATGGTAGTTATCATCTGCATTTATCAAAACCATATCTACCAAGATTTTCATAGTGACAGACTGACAGTGACAACAACGATGTGATACTTTCCTAGTACGTACTTCCCGGAAAAATGCTACTTTCCGGACGGTTGCCGAATGTTTACATGTTTTGCAATTCGCTATGACGCGATACACAGTGCTAGTACAGTAATGCATAAACTCAATAAATCGTTCATCATCCACTTTTTGGAAAATGCTTCGTTTATTTTCTCAATAAGTACGCTTTCTTTGAGCCAAATCGAGCGTTTCTCCATGTGAATCTTTGATGTCTCAAAGAATGCGTCCTGAGAATATACAATCGACCTATCCGAGGTATTCTTGAAAAAGTGGAATAACCTGCAGTTTTATTAGATGGTCGAAATATTTTGGCGGATCTAGAAATCTTCTTTATCAAAGTTTGCCTATTGAAAAGTCAACTATGTCAAAGTAATTAGCTCGCTAGTTCTCAACTCTAAACGAGTATTTTTATTTCTCTTTCCATTTGCCAAATGCCAATTCATCTTTTGACTATACTCTTTATTCATTGATATATTGTCACATACAAATATCTTACTCTGCTATGGTACCCCTCCTTCAAAAAGGTGATCAGGCCAATTGAGATTATACAAAATAGAGCAATAAAAAATATTTATGGATTGCACAGAAGAAATCACACAAATGATCTCTATTAAAAATTATAACATTATGCCCCTAAATGCTATTTACAAATACCAAGTATGTCTCTATATATACCAAATCATCAATTCTAAGATATTCTAATATTCATCACCATAATACAAGACTTAACAATGATTTGGAAACAATGGAGTTCTCTACAACCCTTGGTCAAAACTCAATATTTGTCAAGGGTGTCACTTTGTACAATGAGCTCCCTCCCCATGTAAAATGTTCTTCAATAATGATTCAAGAAAATGTTGAAAAATTTCCTTAAACTTCAGTAAACTAAACCAAATTGAATACATGTAAACAAACATGTACAAAAAGGTCTCCAATACTGGGATACTCTGATGGAATCTTGACTGTAATACCTGTGGTAATACTGTAGTTTAATTTTAAACAAGTATGTGTTCATTTACTTGTGTAAAGTATATGACAGTGCCGACTAACTGTTGTAATTGAATAGCTCAACAATGATTTATATATATTAAAAAAGTAATGTATTGTTTAGAGGAAGGACCTACATAAGAATGTAAACATTTTTCATTGGTTCAATAAAGATCTCTCTCACCTTAGCAATTGTAGTTACCGTACATCAATAAATCCCGATTCCAGTAGTTTCTTCCATAACTAGCTCAAAAACGCACAATTATTTATCCTGTTGTCAACCTGAGAAATCGATTTTCGCTAGTTACAATAACTAATTTCAAAAAAATCGTATTCCTGCTCTTATTATTGTTGGTAGATTTATCTTAATAATATCTTTTTATTTCAGCCTAGTGCACGAACAACCCTTGAAAGAGTTTTGGGATTGAGCTCATATTGTTTCACGAATATTGGAAATTTAGATAAATTCAAGAGCAATGTGAACAAGTTCATAGTGGAAAATCAAACTCCACTTTACTTCGCACCTGAGGGAAGGCCTACTAATGGAAAGGGTTTGCTTAAGTTCAAAATTTACCCTTTCGAGTTTACATCAAAAATCCAGCCAGTGTGTATTAGCATCGAGAGACCATATCTGGATATATCAGTAACTTCTATAGGATCTTCCTACTTGAGTGATATTTTATATTTCATGTTCTGTCCTACCACTAACTACAAGCTGATGTTTTTGCCTCCCATCGAGAAACATGATCAAACTGATGAGGAGTTTGCAGATGTGGTTCGGCGTCAAATTGCTAATGCCTTGAAGGTAATGACATTTATTAGTTATTATACATAGCAGCTATTGGAATCATATCAAATATTGATTGAATTTCGCTGAACATATGAAATGAGGAATAAGCAAAATTTTCAGTTTCTATGACCATATGAATTTTCTTTCTTGTAATTATCACAGGGAGACCACAATAAGAGGTAGATGAATCCATTTCATGTGGGCCAACGGAACCAAATGTACTTTCAATTATTCAACTTTTTGATTGACAAAACGATTAGTCTGACATTTCTGATAACAATAAGGGCGCACCAACTCTCTATTACTATTCCACTGCTCTGTGCTGAAACCGTACTTTATGAAAGAACTGAGCCAGTGCCACTTGTACTTGCTCTATGCTAGTGCTCTCTGTGAATCGACGAGTGGAAAATGCTATTAGTTTTACTAACTTCATGATACCTATTTACTGATTATTATATTATAGAATAGAATATATTCATTCATCCAATAGACCACTTTACATTGGTAAATGAAAAGTCAAAAACAAAACCATGAAAAATCTTGGATAATATCTCGAGTGATACATTCACATCAAGTGGTCAATATAACAGGCTGTTGAGAACCAAAATAGTTAGCGACATGTAAATATACATGGTCCTGCATCTCAGCTCCCGTCTTCTATAATTCACTTATCAGTTGAGTCAGGATTTTGATATTTTGTAGACTTCGATTGTATCATACTCCTGGAAGTTAATTGAAATCGGTTCAGTGATATGGACGTAAAAAAATTCAACAAAAAAATTCTATTTTTCACCACTGGTCAAAAACATTAATAACAAAAAAGAGAGTGCCTGCTCAATAGAATCATAAGAGATTCATATCGAATAAGGCCTTAGAGGATCGCTAACCGAGTTCAAATTTCAAACCACTATATTTTCCTCATTTCAAATTGGAGCCCTGTATATTTTCATGTCATTCGATGCGTGAATAAAAAACAAACTTTTTTTCCTAATTACAACCCCATCGAAATTCTCATCGTATCAGAAGTTATTTGCCGAAAACTTGTTTCATCAACTATTCTGAGTCATGAATAAAAAACGAAGGTGGATTTGAGAAGTGAATTATTGACATTTAACTCTAATGAAGTGTCAGGAGTCTATTTGGGCTGGATCAATTCAAATTCAATTCATTGTTAGCTCATTCTTATCAATTTTTTGAGCTGTTTTCAACGAAATATTGTTTTTGTCATGGAGTACAACCAAGAAGAGCTCGTAGATATAATTTTAATATTAAGAGAATGTAAGAAAAACTCTTTTTTGGCAAGTCGAGTTTATGCACAACGTTATCCGGAACGACGTCATCCAGACAAAAGGAGCCTGCAGAACTTATTGGATAGGTTTGTACGAACCGGAAATGTAAAATATACAAAACCACTTAAAAATAGACCGGTTCAAAATGAAGAAAATCAATTGGATGTGCTGTTATCTGTTACGGAAAATCCTTCCATTAGCCAGCAAGCTATCGCAGATGCCCTGGACGTGAGCAAAAGAACTGTTCAACTAATTTCAAAAGACAACCGTTTCCATGCCTATCATATTCATTTCCATCAAGAACTATGAACATGATTTTGAAAAAGGTGTCGAATTCTGCAACTGGGTTCAAGGTGAAATTGGAGTAAATTTCGACTTTTTTTTTGATAAGCTTTTGTTTTCTGGTGAGGCCGCCTTTCATAAGAATGGATTTGTGAATCATCACAACTTTCATTATTACTCCGATCACAATCCAAGGGTTTTTAGGCAGATTGATAGACAAAACAAATGGACAATTAATGTGTGGGGAGGAATTATTGGTGAACATGTTATTGGTCCCTACTTTTTCGACTGGAATTTGAATTGCTCTATGTATCTGGATTTTTTTGCAAAACCAATTGCCAAACTTATGTGAAAATCTACCAATTGCTGTGAGGAATGCAATGTGGCTACAACATGATAGAGGCCCCAGCACATTATTCATTACAGGCCAGGGACCATCTCAACACAACCTTTCCAGATCGCTGGATTGGAAGAGGAGGGCCAAGATCACCTGACTAATTCATATTGGATTTCTTTTTGTGGGGCTATGTTAAGGATATCGTTCATCAAAAACCTCTTACCACATACCAGAAAATAATCCTTAACGCATTTCAAACCATTACACCTATTACGAAGAGTAGCAAGGTCATTTAAGGCATTGCTTGTTCAACACCATAAAGTGTTTGTGAGTGGGTTGTAATAAACCTTGTTTATCGGGACCCACATGACCTGGCTATCTTATGGTACAAGAGCATGGTATATTGCCAGGATTCACTTCTCAAAGAAATACCATTCTGTCATATATGCACTAGTCAATTATCTGTCTGAAAGTTTTTGTTTAATTTCTTCACACTCAATGTTATTGTGCTCTGTAGTCAAGACAAAGCTGTAAAACTTCCACGAGTAATATCTTTACCAAACAAATCTCATAATTTTTTTGACTCACTTCCGTTCAAAAAACGTATATTAAAATTTACAGTTGTCATAGGAGTGACTGAATTTCCCGTCGACGAATTTTCTCAAAATTTTCAAAGTAAATCAATAAATATTTCCACATTTCTATCTTTCAATGGAATGTTTATCGAACCGGATAACACTGATACAATTAACTGCTTTTGTATAATCACGGATGTTTTCCTGTCAAATTATTAGACTACAGTTGCATTCTGTATGGATTTCAATACCCTTGTGACTTAACATATCCCTTACGAATATACCATCATAATAGAACTATCATCCAACATGATTTTTTCTCTGGTTGTTGCCTTCTTTTCCTATACAGTGCTTGTCAAAAATCCCCCTCCCTTACATGAATTCAAAAACTTGGACAATTACAAAAACGTCGAATCAGTGAGACTAGGAAGAACGTCAGATTATTTGACAACTCTTCAGAAGCGGAGCTTGAATTTCGAATTTCATATACTGATGAAATGGAAGTTATTGAAATAATTCAGTCTTTAAAGAAAACATGCTCAGATCCCGAAGGTTTAATAACTAAAGATATGTTCGAACTAAAAAATATTTTGGCCAATCCATTATCAAAATTAATCAATAAATGTTTTACCAGTGGTATATTTCCACAAGAATTAAAGCATGCTTCATTAAGACCAATTTACAAAAGTGGAGATACTCAAGATCCAGAAAATTATAGACCAATCGCCTTATTGAGCATTTTTTCCAAAATTGTTGAGAAGATTCTTAAAAAACGCATTGTAGATTTCATAAATAGAAAATATAGCTTTGACATAAATCAATTTGGTTTTCAAGAAAATAGTGGCACACAAGCGGCAATATTACAAGTAATACAAGCAATACAAAAAGGACTTGATACCGGAAATTATGTGATAGCAATTTTTGTTGATCTCAAGAAAGCTTTCGATACAGTAGACCACATAACACTTTTGGAAAATTTAGAATCAATGGGACTCAGAGGCATGATAAGGAACCTTTTAGATTCGTATCTTCAAAATAGGACAATCAGTACCAAATCTACCAACTCAGAGTCTCATAGACTACCGATGACTAAAGGTGTCCCTCAAGGATCTGTTTTAGGACCAATTTTATATTTATTATATATTCAAAATATCACGAAAATTGATACAGAATGTAATTACACTATTTATGCAGACGATACGGTACTTTTATATGAAAATAAAAATCCTATCATTTTAGAAAATATAATAAACAGAGACTTGATGAAATTTGAAAATTGGCTGCATTCAAACCTCTTATCTTAATCTTATCTTAATATATGATTTTTCAACAAAAAAATAAACAAAATATAAATTCAAATCTCAGAATTAAAAATGAATCTTTGAAACGAACTAATGAGAAAAAGTGTCTTGGGATTTGGTTTGATGATAAATTGAAGTGGGACAAACATATAAATGTTTTGAAGAAAAAAATATCTCCTATTATTGGAGCCCTGAGGAGATGTCCCAAGCTGAATAAAAAAGTTGCAAATATAATTCTATATTCTCATATACTCAGTCGTATTAACTATTTGATAAATGTTTGGGGATACTGTTCAAAAAACAATTTTAATAAAATATCTGTATTATATAAAAAGACATTGAAAGTACTGTATCGTTTACCATATGATACACCAACAAATCAATTATATAAAATAACTGAATCATTCTCATTAGAAGAAATGTTCAAAATCGAAAGACTGAAAATTACATACAATATCATAAATAAAAGATTGAAATCTAATTTTATTTTAACACGAAACAATGAAATTCATAATTATCAAACTAGACAACATGGTTTATTTCATCTTGATATCGCTAATACTTCTATAGGCCAAAAAAGATTCACCCACGCTGCTCTCTTGGAATATAACAAATTTATCATTTCTGAACGAAATAGATGACTACTGTCTGTAGGTTAATCGAGGAGGTGGTACATTCATTATTCCAAATTTTTTGGGATTTTCTCTCCTCGTTTCTATAAAATAAAAATATGAATATTATTTCAATATACGTGTAGTAAGGACAAATCAGATGATTTGCCCCAAAATGTCACTGCGTTTAAAGAATTTTCCTATCAGAGAGCCTAAAAGAAAAATTCACTAGCTTGTCAGTGACAATTTGTATAGAAAAATTTTTGGAGAAGAGAAATAAAGGTATATAGAAAAAATATATCAAATTTTCACTTATCTTTGGACGTTTCGGGACCGATTCTGCTCCCGTTTTCAATATAAAGAGATTTTTTCAATTGCAAAGTCGTATAATATGTCTTGAAGCTTTTCAGTTTTCAATGACAATTGGTGACGTTGGCAATCAAAGGAGTTACAGGATGTTTTTATTAATTAATCTTGAATTTACCATTTTCATGTTCAGATTTTAGTAGTGAATACCATGTTCTGTCTATATCAACTGAACAAGAAGCAATGTTATTGTCTCCGTTCAGAAGAATGCAAGCAGATTCCTTGATTTTTCTCTTCTGGTTGTTATCTTCTTTTCCAATGATTTTAATATTATTCCACTCTGCCATATGTTGTCCGTCTTCAGTAAGGATATGTTCAGCAAGTTTCGATTTATCGATGTTTCTTTTCTTTATATTGTACTTATGTTCCTTCATCCTTACTGAAAGAGGTCTCTTGGTTTCACCTGTATAAAACTTTCCACAAACACAAGGTATACTGTAAATACAATTTTTTGACGATTGTTCTTCATTTTTCGGCTTTGTTTGAGTTAGAATTGATCTCATTGTATTTTCAGTTTTGAACACAGTTTTCACTTGAAATTTATCACCAACACGTTTTATTTTTTCAGATATGCCGGGAATGTATGGTATTATATTTGTCGTTATTGATGGTTGATTTTGTTGTGGTTGACCCTGTTTGTTTTCAATTTGATGAATCGTCCTATCAACAAAATTCTTTGGATAGGAATTCAGTTGGAGAACATTTTTAATGCGTTGGACTTCGTTATTGAAAATTTGTTGGTCAGATGATATTGATTTGGCTCTATCATGGAGTGATTTGATTATTCCTTTCTTAATACTGTTCTGATGATTTGATTGAAAGTTCAAGTATCTGTTAGTATGGGTCTTTTTACGATATACACTCGTTACAAAGATGTTATTTGATTTTTCAATAAGAACATCTAGAAACGGTAATTGATTATTAGATTCAATTTCCAAAGTGAACTTTATTGTAGGTTCGGCATTGTTCACATAATCCAGAAAATTATCTAGCTCCAAAACGTTATGAGGCCAAATTATGAAAATATCATCTACGTATCGCCACCATGTTTTAGGTTGTTTTTGGTAATTTTTGATGATGTTGTCTTCAAAATTCTCCATAAATATATTGCTTAAAATTGGAGATAATGGCGATCCCATTGCCATTCCAAAGTTTTGTTGATAAAACTCATCATCCAATTGAAAATATGTTGTTTTTAGACACAATTCCAAAAATTCCATTATTCCTTCGATACTTAGATTAGTTCTTTCAGTGAGACTTTCATCGTCTTCTAATTTATGTTTCACTAATTGTAAAGTTTTATCTATTGGAACATTTGTGAATAAACTTACTACATCGAAACTAACAAGAGTATCATTTGTATCAAGAGTGATGTCATTAAGTTTTTCTAAGAAATGAGGAGTATTTCTGATGTAACTCTCACTTTTTCCTGAGATAGGATTGATGATATTCAAAAGAAATCTTGCTAAATTTTGACATGGAGATCCAATTGAACTCACGATTGGTCTCAATGGAACATTTGGTTTGTGTATTTTTGGAAGTCCGTAAAAATGAGGAGGTTTGCTGTGATATGTAGAGATATTCTTTCTTTCCGCGAGTGTCAATTGATTTTCGTGTTTCTTAATAGTGTTACGTATCTTTCTTTCGATATTTGCTGTAGGATCTCTATTCAATTTCGTGTAATTACCATCATTTATAAGTTGTTCAATTTTAGTATTATATTCAGTTTTGTCCATGATGACTGTAGCATTTCCTTTATCAGCTGGAAGTATTTTGATTGTGCTATCGTGTTTTAGGTTATTAATTGACTGTTTTTCTATTCTAGTTATGTTTTGTGTGATTTTGTGTTCTTTTTCAATTATAATTTTATTTCTAATTCTATACTCATTAGAAAATTCATCAGGAAGTCTTTGCGCAGTTTGTTCAATTGCTGTAATAAATTCTAATCTTGGAAAATTATTTGGAGTTATTGAAAAATTCATTCCTTTTGATAATATTAACTTCTCAGTATCTGTCAATACTCTCGAAGATAGATTCACAACAGTTTTGTTCAAGAAATTCTGTACATAATTCTTATACAAAGGAGAATGCTAAGAACAAACAGATTCACATACGAAAATTCAATAATCTCATTAATGAAAAACAACGAAAAGAATTGCAATTCAGAAGTCGTCAACAGAATTTCTTGAACAAAACTGTTGTGAATCTATCTTCGAGAGTATTGACAGATACTGAGAAGTTAATATTATCAAAAGGAATGAATTTTTCAATAACTCCAAATAATTTTCCAAGATTAGAATTTATTCCAGCAATTGAACAAACTGCGCAAAGACTTCCTGATGAATTTTCTAATGAGTATAGAATTAGAAATAAAATTATAATTGAAAAAGAACACAAAATCACACAAAACATAACTAGAATAGAAAAACAGTCAATTAATAACCTGAAACACGATAGCACAATCAAAATACTTCCAGCTGATAAAGGAAATGCTACAGTCATCATGGACAAAACTGAATATAATACTAAAATTGAACAACTTATAAATGATGGTAATTACACGAAATTGAATAGAGATCCTACAGCAAATATCGAAAGAAAGATACGTAACACTATTAAGAAACACGAAAATCAATTGACACTCGCGGAAAGAAAGAATATCTCCACATATCACAGCAAACCTCCTCATTTTTACGGACTTCCAAAAATACACAAACCAAATGTTCCATTGAGACCAATCGTGAGTTCAATTGGATCTCCATGTCAAAATTTAGCAAGATTTCTTTTGAATATCATCAATCCTATCTCAGGAAAAAGTGAGAGTTACATCAGAAATACTCCTCATTTCTTAGAAAAACTTAATGACATTACTCTTGATACAAATGATACTCTTGTTAGTTTCGATGTAGTAAGTTTATTCACAAATGTTCCAATAGATAAAACTTTACAAATAGTGAAACATAAATTAGAAGACGATGAAAGTCTCACTGAAAGAACTAATCTAAGTATCGAAGGAATAATGGAATTTTTGGAATTGTGTCTAAAAACAACATATTTTCAATTGGATGATGAGTTTTATCAACAAAACTTTGGAATGGCCATGGGATCGCCATTATCTCCAATTTTAAGCAATATATTTATGGAGAATTTTGAAGACAACATCATCAAAAATTACCAAAAACAACCTAAAACATGGTAGCGATACGTAGATGATATTTTCATAATTTGGCCTCATAACGTTTTGGAGCTAGATAATTTTCTGGATTATGTGAACAATGCCGAACCTACAATAAAGTTCACTTTGGAAATTGAATCTAATAATCAATTACCGTTTCTAGATGTTCTTATTGAAAAATCAAATAACATCTTTGTAACGAGTGTATATCGTAAAAAGACCCATACTAACAGATACTTGAACTTTCAATCAAATCATCAGAACAGTATTAAGAAAGGAATAATCAAATCACTCCATGATAGAGCCAAATCAATATCATCTGACCAACAAATTTTCAAAAACGAAGTCCAACACATTAAAAATTTTCTCCAACTGAATTCCTATCCAAAGAATTTTGTCGATAGGACGATTCATCAAATTGAAAACAAACAGGGTCAACCACAACAAAATCAACCATCAATAACGACAAATATAATACCATACATTCCCGGCATATCTGAAAAAATAAAACGTGTTGGTGATAAATTTCAAGTGAAAACTGTGTTCAAAACTGAAAATACAATGAGATCAATTCTAACTCAAACAAAGCCGAAAAATGAAGAACAATCGTCAAAAAATTGTATTTACAGTATACCTTGTGTTTGTGGAAAGTTTTATACAGGTGAAACCAAGAGACCTCTTTCAGTAAGGATGAAGGAACATAAGTACAATATAAAGAAAAGAAACATCGATAAATCGAAACTAGCTGAACATATCCTTACTGAAGACGGACAACATATGGCAGAGTGGAATAATATTAAAATCATTGGAAAAGAAGATAACAACCAGAAGAGAAAAATCAAGGAATCTGCTTGCATTCTTCTGAACGGAGACAATAACATTGCTTCTTGTTCAGTTGATATAGACAGAACATGGTATTCACTACTAAAATCTGAACATGAAAATGGTAAATTCAAGATTAATTAATAAAAACATCCAGTAACTCCTTTGATTGCCAACGTCACCAATTGTCATTGAAAACTGAAAAGCTTCAAGACATATTATACGACTTTGCAATTGAAAAAATCTCTTTATGTTGAAAACGGGAGCAGGATCGGTCCCGAAACGTCCAAAGATAAGTGAAAATTTGATATATTTTTTCTATATACCTTTATTTCTCTTCCCCAAAAATTTTTCTATACAAATTGTCACTGACAAGCTAGTGAATTTTTCTTTTAGGCTCTCTGATAGGAAAATTCTTTAAACGCAGTGACATTTTGGGGCAAATCATCTGATTTGTCCTTACTACACGTATATTGAAATAATATTCATATTTTTATTTTATAGAAACGAGGAGAGAAAATCCCAAAAAATTTGGAATAATGAAATAGATGACTTTTTTTATTTTTTTTTCAACTTTTGATTCATATTCAAATTGATTTTTGCTCACCAATATAAAATGATTTGTCAAAATTTAATAATTGATGTTTTCAAATATTTTATTATTCATCAGTTTATTATAATTGTATAGTTTTAGGTATTATTGTTAACTATACTTCCTTATACCAGAACTTGATTCTGACTGGAAGTAACATTTTCAATAAATAAATAAATAGTAAAATACATACATAAACACAAACAGAATTATTAGTATATATGCATAGGTGTTTCCGATACCTTTCAAAAGAGGTGTCACTTGCCGTAGGGTTCCATTTAAAATTATTGGTCACAATGGCCTTTTGACGTCATCTGAAGATTTCGTCATCTATCATCAGTATTAGGGAAGTTTACAACCTTTGATATTCAGTTTCCGATTTTCACTTGTTAATGTATAATCGTTCCAAAGATAAGAGGGGGGAGGGCACTTTATTTCTCCGTTTGATCAGAATATATTATGTTTTTTGTATGTACATTTTATGAATATATTATGTTTTTTCCATTTCATTGAAATTACAGTTGTGATATTTTTTTCAACAATTTGAATGAGGTTATTTTTTTCAGATTGAGCCAACTAATTATACTTCTACCGACTTAGCAGAGTGGGAGAAACGGAAATTAGCCGAAGATCAGGTGAGAGCCCAGGGTCGCAATACAACAAGGGCATTCAATCCTGAAATACAGAGGATGACTGTGCAAGTTAAAGAAGTTCTGCCTCATGTTCCCTTCAATGTAATCTACATAGATTTATGTGAGTATAGAAAACTACAAGTAATACCAAAATTCAGTTCTTAAGCGGTTAAAATAATCAAGCTAGATGGAAAACCACCGGAGCCTAGTCTTCGTATTCTAAAAATAGGCTAATTTTGGTTTTCATAACTGATTCAGTAGCAGTAGGTCCTCGGGAAAGTCCTGCTACATCTTCTCTACTTAAACATGTACCAGTTATACAAAATAATATTATACATGAGAAAAAAAATAGATTTCAGCTCACGGTTTTTTGTCATTATACAATGGAAAAATTTGTATATTTCAACTCGATTAGTAGCGGCGGGAGACAAGACACCATGAGCTAAAATCTAATATTTTTCCAGTGCATAATACACGATTTTTGTCTTTGATAGGGAAGATTCAATATTGAGAAGATTACATTATATTGAAATCAGAAAATTATCGACGTGAAATTTGACGTTTTTTTCGAAAGAATTACACCTATGTTGCAGGCATCTTCATCATTCTTTGAAGTTATCAAATATCTGTCAGTCTCATTCTATGATTTGGTTTCTGAAATTGCGAACTTAGTGGTTGTTAAGTTATCTAGGGAACCACGAATAAGTGGAATGGAAGATGAAAAGACTTGCAGTTGTTTCTCGGAGGCGGTTTTATTGGCAAATATTTCGGAACTAGCGCAAAGCCATCAACAGTGTATGAAAAAAGTAGTCATTTTTTTACCGTGGGAAAAAGTAATTCATGTTATGTGACATTTCATAACCTGTCAACAGAGATGAAATGTCAAAGATTTTTAACCGTCACAGAAAAAATATAATTATTCATACACCTACATGATAAAATCCAGTGTATAGTACAAATCATCCAAGGTGAGTTAACATAACAAATTAATATACGAATCAGAAAAATTGATATTACTAAAATGAAAAGTACATAAGGAATAAGAATTCTCTGCTCCCAGATGATGTATGCCTGAATATGGCTCTGTGCTATGGGATATGATATATGATTTATTGCAGCATAAAAGGTGGTACATAAGTAAAATGCATAACACTTATCAGCCTAGTCAAGATACAAGTAGATAGTAGTTGTAAAATCGAAAATAATGATAACAAATAATCAGTTCTTTTTCAAATATTCAGACAAAATAGAAAGAATTAAGAAAAAAATAATAAATGTTTTGAATTACAGATATAATAGAGATCTTCAATTTTTGCTGAACGCAGACTAAATCACTATAATATGTGTAAATTAACTTTGAGGAGATTGATTGTAGTCCTGATATTTCTGTATAATTCATTCAACAATAAGATTGATAGTAGTGGAATATAATATAATATAATAATTCTCCCATCAGCGGACTGCATGGAAATTATAATAGTTTCTTCAGTCAAATTGATATATCCAGCATATCTTATTAATTTGAAGAGAATTTTATTTTCAATATTATGTCAGCAGGAGTGACATAGAGATAAATATTTCTTATACAGGGTGATTCCAAATTCGGTGTAAATATTTCAAGGACATATTGTTGGGATCTAAATAAGACTTTTTCTTCATTTAAACATGTGTCCTACAATACACCCCATCCGAGCTACATCTACAGTAAGTTAGGTAAAAAAAAGATTATCTAACATTGTGACTAGAATAACAAACCGAATCTTCTGAATATTGAGATGCCCCTGTCTTTTCAGACACTTAATTTTCTTCTTGCTCCACAAATGATGTAAACCCAGTTTTTAAGGATTTGGAGGGGGATCCACACTTTTATTGGCTCAAATTTCATGTTTGAAGATAGAAACTCTGATTTTGATGATCTTGTGATCCATAAAAAATGTGAGAATTCGGTCTCTTGCATTTTTTCATATAACTAACCGTTTGCCAGAAAATCGTAATCAACGAAAGGAGAAGTCACGACATCGTTTTCGAACGCAATGGGTTAAACACTTGCATACGGAGGTGATCGTATGTTGCATGTCGCATTCGAGACTGCTATTTCAATTTTCTACAAACGTCAAAAAATATTGTTCTGAAATAAGTAATATGCTTAAAAAATAGTGTTGAACTGACTGTGAAAGCCTCAATTATTGTTGAACATTATGAATGAATGATTTCTTGAATTTCAGCTTGATTGAGGACCATAAAGGTTAGAATACAAAAATCCGACAATCTCGTGAACATTTTCCTTCAAATCCGCCTAGAACCTTGAAAATCTCACCAATCCATGCTCCAATCTTGAAAATCTACTTTGTTCGAATCCCTAAATATATCTTTGAATCGGTCAATCTTTCCTCAAATTCGAGAAATCTTGGAAGTACTGTCACAATCTTTCCAATCTCAAGGTCGAATCCTGAAAATATTGTGGCAATCTCAATCCCAAGCAAAAATCTCTCAATCCCAAGCGCAAATCTTTCAATCCGAGTCTACATCCAGAATCCAGAATATTCCTCGTCGAAAATTATAAGATAGGGTGGGGGTAAGGATCTCATCTCATTTCCATATCAAAACAAAAACAAACTTGTCCTTCGCCGAGAATGATATACGTATTGTAATAACAGACTATTGGATTGCAATCATTGAGAATTACTATATGAATGCATTTCTACTGAAATATAAAGGGTGAAGTGACAAAGTTATGTCCATTCGAAAAAGTCAACATTGGCGTACATTATAAGTGAGATAACTCCTCGGAGATAACTTTCAATTATGACTTCATTAAAGCGATAGTCCAAGTGACTTCGAAGTTTTTGAATAATTTTGAATCCTTTGAAAACAAAGATCAGCAGGCATACTGGAATCAATAGCAATAACTAGGGTTTACAATAATTATTCGAAATGATTATAATCGACATTGCAAAAATGAGACATGGTTTTGTTGACAATGTTGATATTGCATGATTATTTGCATTTTTTTTTACTTGTTATATCTTATTATAATTTCATAATTGTATGTATAACATTATGTATATTGTTTATGTATCCCTATTATAAACAACTATGTTTCTTGGGGTAATAAAGACAATCAATATGACCATAAATCAAAATCGTCATTTATGTAGCCCCGCGTTCAAAAATTATCCTGAAGAGATCAAAATAATTTTGATGTGTAGACCTTATGGTATTATACTATGTCTCCAGGAAGATTCTGTCTATCTCTTTTTGTGATGGACCTATAGAGCTATTTCACGCAGTCATCAAATGAACCAATCAGGAGCTCAAGTCAAATTCGGATTATCGATAACACCGAACTCTGATTGGTCTGTCAAGTTCGGTGTTTCCTGCGGACTCATGATGATTTCACGAAGAAATTCAGTTCCACAGATTTCACGAAAATTCAATCACTTGTGGTATTACTACTGAAAATGTCAAAAAATTGAAATGTAGAAAATTCTCGGAAAAAATGAAAATTCGCAACCTATTTACCCAGAAAATTTCTCCCAAATCTTGATTATTTCAGCAAATATTGAAAAAATTCGTGCAATTTTGTTCTGATCAACCTTGGCATCTCTTGACATCAGTCTCATAAATATTGAAAATTCCCAGAAATCTCTCAATTCTTGAGAAATCATGCAATTCTTTTGGAAATCTTCTGAATCATTTGAAAATCTCATGAACTAGATAAATCTTCAGAAATCTCTCAGTCTTCAGAAAATCTCGCAAATCCTGAAAATCCCTGACAAATCTTGGAAAACTCGTAGAGTTTTAGGAAATCCCAGGAACCTTGATAAATATTCAGGAATCCCTCAATTTTTGAATAAATCCCACAATTCCGCAAAAAATACCTAGAAATCTAGAAATCTGTAGAAATCTTGGAATTCTTGAAAATCTCAAGGACTGATACAAATCATATCAATAATGCTTCGAATCTCACAATATCCAATCTGGTGCACACATTTTGTTGAAGTGAGACATATATAATATATATATATCTATATCTTCCTATATCATACATTCTGTTTTTTTTTTGTATGAGGAACTTTCAGATCAATCGTAACTCAAATATTAGAACCATCATCGAATCAAAAAATAGAATAGTATCAGCTGCATATTTTCCTTCTCACATTTTGGAATTGGTTCACTTTTCTAGTGAAGATTATGTGAACAAAGAAGAGAATAAGCTCGACCTAAAACAAATAAACTTCATTTTTGGAATGGGACTGTAGTAAATTCCCTTTCACACTCCCGGTACTAAAGTATGTCCCTTACTACCTAAATAGGTACCTACTTGAATGATCCTTAGGGTTTATAGTGAACCGATTATTTCAAAGAAAACTAACAATATAACCAATTGGTGCTTGTCAAATCAATTTCAATCATTGATGAGTCACCTAATTTTAGTTACAATTTTTCCGAATGTGGAAATATTGCGTATGCTTGCATATACCGTGGGACTGAAGTAACAAACTTTTTCAAAACAGACAATTTGAAGTGATCCATTTCATCCCTATTAGGACTGTAGTAACTCATCTGATTCCTATCGTGACTAAAGTGCACAGTTCCCAATCTACTTCATTGTTTCAAAGCAAAATTGAAATTAACTAACATATGCTTGTCAAATTGTGTTCTAAAATGTATAGGTTAACTAATTGATTAATGGTATTCCAGAAAGTGCATAGCTTTGGAAAATAAACCACACGCTTGATTAGCAGATTCACTTTAGTCCTGTGCTATATAATGTACTATAAATGGTTCGATGCTCTATCTAGTCTAGTCTATCTCATCAATCAGTTTCGCGAGATAATTATCCTCAATACAAACCACAGCACTCAAAACCTGCATATCTTACGACTAGAATGCGTATCCAATATGGCGGACGAACATTTACGATACGAGTATCGTAAAGACTCATATTACGATATGAGATGGGAAAGTTGTCGAACGAGGCCAAAGGCCGAGTTTGATAACCCATCGATTATCGTAATATGAATTTACGATACGAATATAGTACAATATTTTACCTAGGAGTGGGTGATAATTTTTGTCGGTTACTCGACCGAAAAGATACATATAATAATGAAGATGATGGAAAGCCTTAATTTCGAGTGACAATGGAAAATGAAAAAACTCCACCGCCCCGTGTGAGAGTCGAACTCACAACCTCTGGGTTACATGCCCAACGCTCTGCCAAT